CAGAGTATGCAGCTCTTGGAACGCCCTGCCATCTCATGTCGTTTGTGCACCAATTATTGAATCTTTCAAGCAGAGACTCGATGAAGCCTTGGAACACCTCACATTCGTACACCACTAAAAGCAAACGCAAACTCACTGTAGCCTACATTCTGTATCATCTCCTACCCGGAACTCTATGTGGTTCCTTTTTCGATGTGTCACGATTCATCTGTGTAAATATCCTATGGGGACAAATGCCAATACGGACTTCAAGGCGGCAGTTTGTTGGTGCTCGACTGCTGGCAGCTCCGTCAGAGCTCATTTGCTATTCGGTAGATGCAGATGCAACCCAGGGATACATGCATCTACCCAAGTTGAACAGGCTTCCTTCGTCCGCCCATCCAGGAGTTTTTGCCTTCGCACGTCGCAGGTCGTCTTACTAAGGCTTTAATTCCTCGGTTATTTTCAACCTTGTTTGACCAGCCTGTCGGGCGGTTAGCCTGAGTGTGGTTGCTTATGAATGACTCAGCTTCATGGAAACATAAGAGTTGGGTACATGATGAGTTACGAAGAGGATGATCTCAAGTGGACAGGACAGTGTGCCCACTCAGAGGCACAACTTTTATCAGATAACCCATACACACCAAAAATTCGGACTATCCTGGTTGGAATGACAAGAAGAACAGTTGAATAAAGACAGATGATGTATAGATTGAAAATCAGTTCGAAAGTTTTAGTATGGTCGGGGAGGGACATGTCTCGGGTTGTGACTAGTCTTCATTACCGTACACCTTGCGAAATGCTTTTATATGACCAAGTGTCTCAAATAGCCTCTGCTGATGAAGCCCTACTCACCACCTTCCCGTGGCGGAGTTATTTCCCCACTAAAGAGAGAAGACAGAAAGTCAACAACTGGGTTGGTGAACCATCAGCAGTCCACATACGGGAGTTGGCTAAAAACCCTGATTGCAAACCAATCAAGAAGAAGCGTACGAACCACAACCTAATCCTGATTGTGGCAGTGGTCACCGCCTCGATTGGGCAAATTTGACGTTTGACCCCATCGAAAGGGCGTATGACCCAACGAACTGGCCCCCGGCCCCCAATGGACTATTACATTTGAGCGCCGTACTTTGTCTTGCAGGTTTCGTTTTCTAGCCAAAGGCTTCGGGTGGGGGCCCCTAGGTTATCCCCCTTCTTCAGTCAGGGTAACCGGGAAGTAACACGTCCACACAACACACGCACATTTTACAAATTCTTTGTTCATATTTTGTGGTACATTGCCAGTTCTGTATAATTGGTTACGTGTTGAAATAAAAAGGTACAATGTTGGTGTTTAGACGTCGGAATGAATCTCAGGTCACAGTAATCGGCTTTTTGAGAACACCACTATGACCCAAATTTGACTAATGTGAGAGCAGAAAAAAACCATTCTCTAAAGGGATAAACTGAAGACGATCTGTGATAAACGAGTGCATATTTCGTTACACATTACACACAACGAACAGTGTAGAGTAGCCTACAGTAACAAAAACCTGTGCGGCTATGCAAACTAACTGAATGCTGAGTCATAGATCATTTTAACTGACCAAACACATTAGCCTGGATAACACACGGTCAGATTTGTCGGGGACAAAACTTCAAATACATCAGCAACATGAAATCTTGGACCGCCACTTCCGCTCTAAGGTAGCAGTGAACAGGAATCAGATATTGAAGCAAGGTGCGGCTTTCAGTGCACTAACCCCATTGTGCTTGTACTCTCGTACGACGGGGTGGGGGCTGCTTAGGAGTCTTAATAGGACGAAACGGTTTCGGAAAGTGATAACACAAAATTTCCTCGAAGTAGCACCATGTGGTCAAGTCAGCGAACTATCACGAGATCAGACAACCCTGGAATTTGCACGGACAAAACAAGAACGAAATGCTTATCGGGATGATTAGATCAGACACAGACACACAGACAGGGTAAATTTATGGAACAGCGAACGACAGTCCTTTAAAAGCAAAAATTTCACCTGTTCACGTGTCAGAAGAATTAAAACATCTAAACATACGGCAAAAATTATCCACATTTAAATAAGCATAAACAGCAGGACTGTGTGAAGCTCATTTTGTGCTTCAAGTTACCATTAAACGGACAATTAAACTCGGGTTCGAAATAGGTTAACAAGACATCAAAACCAGTCAAAAGGAATGACTCACCACAACCAATCTTCTCAGATAGCGAGGTTGTAACTTTCCGATCCATCGATCTGTGAACAGAGGGCAGACGAGTAGGATCACCACATTTCTCCTTAACAACTATCAAAACACAAGTGAAGTGAACGAAAAAGCAGTGGCCCCTTAGTAACCTGCCATCGAAACGATGCGTGTTGTGGACGTTGTGGCAAAAATTCTGTTGCGGAGGATGAGAGTTCTAAGAGCAACGCAGTTTATAAGAAAAAGTTCCTATATTTCCTTGGTCTCATGACAGCGATCTTTCCCAGTGGAACTGGACTGTCACATTATCGTGAGTAGACGGATAAGTTCCTCCTAACAATCGAAAAAGCAAATTAGTACAGCGGTAGACAAGCTGGGCAAATTCTCGTTTTGATTAAGTTCAGTTGTCAAAATATGACCGTGTCCACATGATCGTAGACCAGAACAGCAGAATTAATTGTGCACGTACGTAATCCGCGAGGTTGCACGCGACCGAGCATGTCTCCGGGTGTGAGAAACGACTACGTGTACGTGGTTCGCCGTGAAAAATTAGAGATCGCATTAGTGACCGAACGGCCGCAGATCACCAAAGTTGATATCTGAAGACGTGAAGATTATTCTGCTAGCAAGCGATTTCCGCAAGAAAACACCATAGTTGTCTATGAAAAAGTATTGTGACGTGCGATAATCTGATCACCACTAAAAAATTCATGATCCCTGTTGCTTCACAGAAATCACTTGGTTGGACAGAGTCTAGGGGCGACGCCTGAAAGAAGACCAGTTGGGCAGTTTGTTCAATATTCCCAAGATTATTCGTGAATTTAATTACGAGATTGACATATTCTCAAGAAGTATATTGTCGAAGATTGAAAATATCATTCTAGTGGCTTTTACCCCGACTCTTGTCATCTCAACGTTCAATGCACATAACTTCACCCAAAACAAGATTGATAGTGAAGAAAATTACTTGAACAAACTACCTGGAGGTTTTGAGTAGATCCCCTAACCTATTAGAGACAGGGAAGAATCAGGGCACACATAATGTCAGTCAAGCCACTAGTAGCGGCTCAAAGTAGGTCTTACACCAGAATAAAACGCGAAGCTTGGTGCGAGCGTGACACAAGNATAAACTCTAAGTTGCCTGACTCTGAGTGCATTGCTATTAATTGCATAACCAGACATGGTGCACACGCTTATTGGACATTACTACACTTTGTCTACCGAGTGTGATCTAGAATCCGTTGAACGTTTGGTTGATCAATCAACTCTACTAAGCATCACTTAAGTGGAGATCGCGTATCGAGAAGGCGATCAGTACTGTATGCAAGCCATATCTGAAGCATAGTACAGTGAAAAATGACTTTCACGAATGACTGAACGACACGTAACAAGTCGATGCACCAGAGATGTGTTGCACTGTATTGTAATAGTACGACTTCCACAAGCATTTAGGCTGTACTTCAGTTAAAAGATGGAGCTAACCATTAGATATTAAACTCCTATACCGTTTCGAGATCGAGAAAATCTGGGTTAAAAAAATGAATTATCGCAGCGGGAAAACATAAATTATCACTCTGTGAGGGGTCCATGATGACCACATTTCTTCCTCTTAGCCACCAAGGCAAAAAACAACCGATTCAACTTATTTTGATGAGTGAGTTCCCAACACGATGATTGAACCCGAATTCTTGGATGCAGACAGCGTGAGTATACCAGTGCGTGTACAAGTTCAGACTATATACCTCAGTCTACTAAATATTATACGTAGCTTTTCACCGAGCCCGATTGGATGATTACAGAACGAATCAATCAATGTTTGTCCAGTCGATCAATCGATGAGTCATAGACGCAATCTGATTGATTGGTGCGTCACTGCGCCGTTCTCGTATGCGCGATTTGTCTTATGTATCTGTGTATCGAAATCTAATAAAAAACGACACGCTGACTTCGTCTCTAGCTGTGTTCTCTCTGTCCGCGTTATTGTTGGGGTTAAGCAAGAGTCGCTCGTGTCATTCTTACGTCTAGACCGAACACAACAGGGATAAGGGATTCCAAGTGCTGCAAATCGCGGAAAATGATCCAATCAGATCGCAGAGTCAGAAGGAATTTACTTTT